GATTAGAATTTGATTTTTGCGTATAAAGATTCGAGATTCTGTTTTCTATTGCTGAACTGGCTGCACTAGTTCAGAGTCTATCTTTTTTCTTTCAATGTGGAGTAAAAATTATACATTTTTAAACCCACCAAGATAATAAAAGATATCAATATATATGTAATAATTAATTTAAAAAAAAATTAATGCAAAAAACTTGGCGCTGCTAGATTTCAGATATAATAAGATAATGCAGACAAAATAATGTTTTAATTTAAACCGGAACATGACATACCTATACGTATCGTACAGGCTTATCATATTTATTTGTTTAAGATTTCAGTCATACTTGGTTTAGCAGCCCCAAGTTTTTTTGCATTAATTATTACATCACACACGGTGAATGCTCTGGATTTTAACTCTAACTTCTGTTTGTGATGTGAATGCGTTACATCACACGGCAAATGCTCTGAATTTTAACTCTAACTTTAGACTTCAATTTGCGTCATACTATTTTTTTATTCTTCTTTTTTATCTTATCGTTATTCATGTTCACGTATACTTCATGTGCTGATTTAATGCGTTTAGGGTAGAAAATTTTCCTGCAAGCGGTCAGCGACATTTAGCTAATCTTTGCGATTGTTAGCACCTCCCATTATGAACGTTTTAGACTTATACTAAGCTGTTTTGACGGGAAGCAAGTTACACAAGATGGAAATTTCGAAGCTAATGGAATGTGCCATTCCATTAGCTTCGAATCAGCGCCGAGTTTATACATGTAGCTCATTCACATGATTTGACTTACTATCACGTTAACTATTTCAACGTTACTGTAACATCGTAATTGCAATCCTGTTGTCTTTGACCTCTGTACAATAGTATTTCAGCATATATAAAGTTGAAAGTAAAGACTTAAGTAAAAATTAAAGTAAAAACTAAATTGTGATAAAAGAGATTTAAATGTGTGTACAACTTTCGTAAGTTTCTTAAAGTCTTGCAACGCAAGATACTTTATTTTCGTTGTTAGAAATACTGTAACATTGTCGTTAGAAAGCCAGTGAGAAATGATAGCGTTAACTAACATCTATGAGAATCTACAATGAAACCTCCGAAGATATATTTTCGTTTCCCTAAATATCCATGTACCTATATCCGCGTACGATTCATTCACGCTTGGTCTCTCTGCCTCCTCCGCCACGAGTCGTCACTCCGGTTACACTCCGGTTGTGTGCTCGACCGACGGCACGTTAGTCTTATCAGCAAAGATTTGACACTTGACCCTTGACGCTGACCTAAGTATTGGCGGGTAAATCGCGAGCATTCCGCGGGATCGGCAGTCCCGCGTTGATCATCGCGCGCTTAATTATACTGGTGCCGAATTCCGTCGTCTGGCAGCCGTCGATCACGTGCAGCATCATCCGCATACGCGATCGCATCCCCCCGCGTTACGCGAAAGTCGCCGATACCCGACTACGGCGCGTCCGACCGCGACGTAGAAGGTGACCGATAAACTCGCCTCTCCTTTTTTTCTGCCCCATTTTTTTTGCGTCTCGCCGCGATACGAGATTTTTTCTCGGCTGTCGAACCGATGTGTACGACCAGCGTACGCGATAATCCCAGTCATCCCAGTTTAAGAAAACAGATTGAGGCCACGCACGTGGAGAATACGCGCTCGCGATTGTCGCAGGTGCACTCGCGCGAGGGTGAGACGGTGCGCGCTTTTTTCCGGATTATTCGCGAGAATGAGATAATCGTGGCAGAAGTTCACATTTCCACGAAGAAGCTGTGCTGAATCAATTAACAATCGCAATTTGTTGAAAGCCAATCGACACTTTGCACCAACGCGACGGAACAATATTAATCTTACATTGCCAGTCATAATTATTAAAAGTTGTAAATTGCGGTTTACAATTTGAAATCTGGAGTTAGAGGAACGTCAAAAGTTAACGGACAAGAATAAGTTGAAGTTATAACGAAGCTGCGAGATTACATCAAGTAAGGAGTTGTTTATATCAAATTAAAATTATTTGGTGATTCTTCTCTTTTCTCTCATCGAAAGAGACATACGATTTATGTACGTATACGTACAATTTTTTGACAAAAATCAGATCTTGGAGATAGTGTTTCTTTTTTATATTTGCTGGAAATACAAGTAAAAGCTAGAAATATCTCCAAGAGAAGCCGAAGGAAAAGTTGTACGTAAATCGTATTGACTTCGCGTCGTAGTTATCTATCATCACTTGTTAGGAGCAAATCGTCACAGACGCCGTTGACGTCGTTTTGTCATATCGCAGTTATTCACTGTTTCGCGAAAACAAATAACAGCGAATTATTCTCAGAGACGCTCTCATTAGAAATGACTTTCCTCAATTTCGGGAATGATAAATCATGCCCATATCGATTCGCTTCCGCTCTCCTATTTTTTTTACGACAAACACACTTGATTTTTAAGTAATTTCTTCTTTATAATTCGGTATCTTTCAATATTACTCGCGCAATTACGTCCCAAATACGCGGAACATTAATCAGGTTTCATTGCCCGACGAATTACATTATATCGATACGTCGATACGTGAGTTCATACGAGGGAGGATTCTTAATTGAGTTATATCAAACGACCTTATTCGATAGAACCACATCCTGCGCCCGTCGTTTTACGTCATACAAAATCCGTTATAAATTAATAAATATCCTCTATATAACTGTCGAGTTACTTGACACATAATTACTAACATAATTTTGTTACAAGCTTAAACATGCGCTTTCGCTGCTCGACCTACTTAATCTCGTGTAAACAAAGCTCCTAAGGTCTAATCTAATCAAGGCGCTCTTGGACGAAAACATCGTACGCTGTTCTTCTTTTTTCGCGAAATAAAATTGCTTAAACAATCGCGATTATTCCAAACCGAAATCGAGGCAGATCAGTTAGCGCCGTATATCAATCTCGTCCGCGCATTCGCGCCTGCGATATATTGTGAAAATAACGAGAATCCAGATAAGGGTCGCGAGACAATTATCGGCATCCGCCGAGGAAAATTACTTTTCCCCCTGACATATTGAAATCTCTCATCGTTTCGCTTTATATGGACTCGGCACATTCTGCGTCGTACGTATTAAAAATCATTGAATCTTTTCAGAAAATATATGCTCTGAAATCGAGTAACAATATTCTGCATTTATAATTTTACTTTAAACCTCGCGCCGACCTTGTGTGGATGATATTACGCTTAATAATGTTTATATACTTAATAATGTTTATATACTTAATAATGTTTTTCAATCACTTTCCTGCGGCATCTACGTATATCCTCACGGCATAGTATAAGTGCATTAATTCTACTAAAACAAGCGTAATTATATCGCTTGAATCCCGAAAAAAAAACGCCCGCCACGATTAAAACGAAGTTCATTAAATTAACTGAAGAAAAACAACTCGTTAATGATATCTTAACGTGTTCCCCCGATGCACTTTGTGTCTCGGGGCCGAAGTTTAGTTCCGTATTTCTGCTCATGTTTAACGTATGATGTAAGATGTAAGGCGGATTTGGTACTTTGGAACGCGATCCACATTGGTGTTTTAATATCAAGATTTGCGCAGCAGTGCGGAATTGTATAAGAGATAGGGGTTCGCTTTCTCTAATCTCCCGTCTTATTTTTCGCTTCTTAATATAATAAAACGACTCGGGCGCGGCCTTAGCCAGTTCTCAGAGCGCCATAACAGTTCGTAAAACAGTTGTACAAAAGGTAGCGGACTAATTCGAGCCTCAATATACGACACGCTCGGACCTGCGCTGAAGCCTCGGTATGTCAGCGAGAAGTAAAACGAATCAGTATTATAACGCACCCCGCACGATGAGGGTTCATTGTCAATAGTGCGCAGGGGCAAAACGATTACGAGTAGATCGCGATTGACGGATGTCGTGAAATATATTGTTTTGCACTCGGTACGCTTTGCCACGCTGATTTACGATGTAAATCAAGACTTACGTGGTCATTCAGCACGAAACATTGCAACGTGAAAGAGGTTTCCACCCTCGATTTTTCGCGTAAGAACAACAAAATGATATAAACGCCTCGTAAAGCATATTTCTGTTTGAAAATTATTTTTCTTTTTGGAGCATTAGGTATCTATTTTATATTTTAATATCTTTTTTTACGGATAACTAAACACAGAAGTTGATTTTGGAAGATGAAAGATTTTTGCGGCAAAATTAAATTATGTTTACGAATAAAATATAGCAGATAGAAAAGAACGTTAATTTATTTATTGACAATGATGAAAAAATAAATATTTAAGAGATTTTTTTATATCTAAATCTTATTTCTTTTCTTTTTGACCGCGTTTATCCATACTTTATATTTTATATTGAATCGCAAATCGCTTCTCAATGCAATGCAACCCTTTGAACGTGATGTAACCTTGTCCGCTGCGTTAAAGGCTAAACACAAATAAACACGATCTGGCAAACATTCGTTTCGACTAATTGCTTCCGCTGCGATTGTTGCGTATTTTGCTGGAACAGACTCTCTCTAGATGCATTAGTCCGATCTATTATTTCCCAAACTTTCCGAGCTAAAAGTGTGAGCATTAGATATCTCTCGAATTCACGTTGTAGCAGATATTATAAGTTTTATATTACATTATTCTTCAACATTTCTTTCATTATTTTATAAAATTTAGAGTAGGGAGAAATATTTTGTTGCAATTAAAACAGGGAAATAAGTGTTGCGAAAAATATCTCTTTTAACACGATCGAAATGTGACAATTTCAGATGATTGATAATTTGATCTTCAACGACATGGGGAACATAATGCAATTAGGCGAGACCGAGGACGAGGAGAGCCTCAAGTGCAACGACACGGCTCACGCGGAACTGCCAATCGAGTTGCGCTTCAACGACGGCCACTTGGTGACGATAATCACTTACAGCATCCTCATGGTGATATCGGCCATTGGAAATATTTCCGTGCTGACCATAATAAAGAAACGAAAGTCCAAGTCCCGGATACAGAACCTCGTGATGCACCTGTCGATCGCTGACCTCTTTGTAAGTAAAACAACTCGGACGCGCAAAATAACTTAATTACGATAAAATGATCGTTCGGCTTGCGATTTAATTTGATTAATTAAACTAACACGAGACGTGTCGTTATCTTTATCATCGTCCAGGTGACATTCCTGATGATGCCGTTCGAAATCGGATGGGCGAGCACAGTGTCCTGGGAGGCGGGAGACGCGATGTGTCGCATAATGGCTTTCTTCCGGACGTTCGGCCTGTACCTTTCATCCTTCGTAATAGTCTGCATAAGCATAGACAGGTCGGCACAACGATACCGTATAATCGCGATCATTCCACGACGCATTTCCTTTCTTCGGTTGATCGAACATTTTAATGTTAACACGATTTGCGATATTTAAGATGATCGCACATAAGACTGCGCGTTCACGTAGCTGCGTCTTTCAGATATTACGCCGTGATGCGACCCCTCCAGATACTAGATGTTCACAGGAAAGGGAAGATACTGCTGATGCTCGCGTGGATTGGTTCCGTACTTTGTTCCCTGCCACAGGTGCACTAACTTTTATACAAAACAAGCATGAAATGGGCATTTTTCGCTTCGTGAATGTCGTTAAACAGCGTATGTCTCGTTCCCTCGTAGATGTTGGTGTTCCATCTCGAGACGCATCCGAATCATACCTGTTATACCCAATGTATAACGTTCAATATCTTTCCATCGTACATGCACGAAGTTTCGTACAGTCTGTTCGGCATGGTGGTGATGTATTGGTTCCCCCTGATCGTAATATTCTACACTTATACCAGTATTTTCATGGAGATATGCCGTAGATCCAAGGAGAGGAACGAAGGTACGGCCGAATGTAATTTATCGCGTTGTAAAAACGCAAAAAATTATTTGGAAAGTGTGTAATATCGCTATTTCTGATTTTATTTACAAATACAAATTTAATGGTATGTTGTTCAATACTCGGTAATGAATGAAATAATGCGCGCGATTGCGATACATTAAACAGGGATTCTTTGCAGACAGAATACGTCGTTCCTCGAGCGGTTTCTTAAGTCGAGCGCGAGTGCGCACTTTAAAAATGACGATAACCATTATCGCCGTTTTCCTTATCTGCTGGAGTCCTTACTACGTGATGAGCGTTTGGTGAGTCTGCGATTACTTTTAAATTTCCGCAGTATTTTTCCCGTCGATTAAAAAGTTAATCGCGATACTGGAACAGACTTTGACATGACCGACGTTCACGGTCACAGATACCTACGCAAATTTTGTCTTACGAAAGAGAAAAATAAAGTTGCATGTTACTTGGTGTTTTTGCTGGGTAGCATCCCAGATTGATAAACTCCTCGCTACTGAATTCTATGATCTTTATCGGCGAACGCGTGCAAACAGGTACTGGATCGATCGACCGTCGGCCCTCGAAGTCGACCCACGCATTCAGAGAGCTCTTTTCTTCTTCGCGTGCACCAACTCCAGCGTGAATCCCATCATCTACGGTATCTTCAATATACGCCAAAGAAACAAGGTAAGTGTCTATATCTTGAACGGATATAACGGCGCAAATTCTCAATGAAGCTTCTAGCGCGAAATCATTAACTTCGTTACGTATAACATTTCATATAAAAATCACGAATTGTTTAATCGACAAAGTTTTGCATAAAAGATTTAGATATTCGACACGCGTAACGATCTTGCAGCCAGGGTTAATAAAATCCACAGTCAGTTTGAGCGTGAAATGGAACTCGATTCAGGACGAATTCGTGTAATCGTCACATTAATTCGATTATCCGCGCTCTACGTGTCGTTAACACGTTCCACGTTTGTCCATGCAATTGCAATAGATATATTTAATACAATATACCTTACGAAGGCAAGAACGAATCTATACCACTTGCATTAGAAAAAGAAGGAGATTTCCATAAATCATGTATCTTTCTATAGAAATTAATAAGCTGCAACACTTTGCTTTCAGTTCATATATTTGTTTCCTACTAATACATTTAAATTAACAGTTGCCTGTTGCCTGTATTTCTAGGCAAAGCTTCAGTCCTATCCTCTTCTAAGGCCCATCAATACAACCATGGAACTTCCGGTCGTCGCGTATGCCAGAGATTCCATTTTCACCGTTTTCATAATAGCCCTGCCGGTCCTCTTTAACCCTCCGACTTCATGTAACAGACGTTTATCGCATGATCGTAATGGTAATTTGTTATCTCGTGTATGGATTGATAAGTAAATCCTCCCACACCGTTCTGCATCCGCATGCTCCCACGCGCGATTAATATAACAGTGATCGCACATTGTTGCTTTCGTAAAGAAATAAAGAAAGCATAAATAATCACAGCTACAGCAATGTTTGAAGCAAGCGCAAAGACGTTTGAGAAAAATATCTGAGCTTTCAAGACGTCGAGATTTCGGACTTTCGACAGCTACAAGTTCCACGAAAATCTCTATTTTCGTTCTAGGCGCCGATGCGTACAGCCACCATCGAGACCCGGGTCACGCCGCTGTCTCTATCAGTCAAACTTCTCGATTGACAATGAACGCAACGTTCGCCGGCTCGAACAGATGCGTCTAAACCGACAGCGTTGGTCCCGCAAAATGTCCGTGTCCTTTTATACGAAAATCATGTTTCGGCATGTATAAGTATAACGCTATTACGAACTGCGCCTTACGGTCGCATCTACGGCGCCGGATACCGTCCAAACGCGAAAACGCGGACCAGTGCTATTAAAAAGTACCTGCCAGATGCGTGATGAGATTAGGCAAGATGAAAAAGCGCCTGTAATTGATCAAGTCGCGCTCGACGCGCCCGACGGCGAAGAGGATTCTCTGACGAAATTGCGCGACGAAGATGAAAAAGAACGGAGATTTTCCCGGGTGAACTCTGTGCACTCGTTCATCTCTGTATAGATGTATTTATTTCGAAGTTAGATAAGAATCTTTAAGAAAATTCTCTAGACTAAGTTATTTTATACGTATTTGTTACGACATAAGCAAACGTTGCAAATGCAACGAACGTGCTTCGTTGGGTATGTGTTCTTTCTTTTTTATATATATATACTTTCGCGACACAAGGTTGTGCAAACAAGTTACGTAAGCTATTTATACACCGCTTATGTTCCGTATATTTTTATAAAAGGAAGAAAAATATATTGAACAAAATGCACGTGTTTGCGTTTCGCGCAAATCTCTTTCGTTACTTAAAAACCTTTAAAGGATAAGCTCGCGTGATCAATCTTGTTTCTATCTATATGTTTTCTGTATAAATAAAAAGATGAAATAATTGTAATTTATATATGACGCGCGTAATGTACAGATTCTATCCCTATGTGATCGGGTAACGTAATGCGTTACGCGATAAGTATTTTTTATATGCGACTACGTAACGATGTATTTCAGTTCGTAACAGGTAAGGGAGTGTCATCGTGTCTTTCCCGGAATCAGACGCGTCTTTGCAACACTCGCCAACTAAGCCTTAATTGAGTTAAATCTGCGTGACTCCGTGCCGAGTCTCGTGTATACGCAACGGGCCAGTTACATACATCAGACTCAGCCCGCACATCGTATCCGTAATGTCGGTTAATTAGGATGGAAAATTGATCACGTGGTACCGGTGGCGGCCGCGCAAAGTCTCGGTCAGCATCCGACACGGCTGGAACGTAGTTAATGACGGAGACGAAATGACGGCCGCGGCCGAAGCGGACCCTTTCGTTCCGCGTGTTCGCAACGGGGCACGTGTATCGCGTGGACGAAAAACGCGGCATGACGTATCGAAACGCAAGAGCAAAACATTATCGCCACGTTGAAATCAGTTAAGAGCGATTGTCTATCGATAAGTTTACGAGATTCCGTATGATGTTACAGCAAAGCAATCCACTCGCAAATTAGAAACGTCTGACCGATCGTCAGACATCCGACGGAACGTCGTCCGTGAATAATTGAGAGAGTTAAAAGAAATTCGCGCAGAAATTTATAATGTCAAAGTCACAAATATTTAATTTGTAAAATTCGCACATATTTGATGTCGGATATTTCTCGCGCGGATTACGATAGGTACAATCAAATTGTCATGCGTCGTTTCACGCGTTAGCGTTCAACTATATCGAATAAAAGACTCTAATTTTTCGGATAAAAGACAATAATTTTTTTGGAGACACCGTGTATATCACCATGAAGGAAACTAGGCTTTCTGCAGCGTGTCTACGGTTTGAAACTGGTGTGGATGTGTAGGTGGGACCACTTCCCACACACGCGTAACTGGCACACCAACAACATTGTTACATACCTGTTGCAAGGTTCCGTCGCATCGGAAAGACCTAAACTCCCGTCACAGAAATCTATCGAGATTGGAGAGGCTTTTTTATCTATACAAAAAAATTAATATAAATCAATAAAAAGTCGGAGTTACGAGCGCAGAAAACTGCTATCCTCATCTTCGAATTTGCATTTGTCTGTAGATTTTATCCACGACGTGGTGACAGTTTTACAGTTGTACGTATTCTAAAATGATAATACGGGATGCTAATATGTGAGTGTATTGCATATTAATTGTTTTCGCCGAGAAGTTCCTCGTGTCGCCGTAGAAGGAAGCGTTTAATTTATATTAGCGCCGGCTCTGACGCGCCTTTCCGCTATGACTATTTCATATCGTTAAAAACAGCTCGTGGGCGGGTGCGCACAATAATGTCGGAGTAATGTATCGATGATATCAGGACTAATCATTCGGCCAGATCATACGTCAATAATACTGCTTACTCCACTGTCCATTTCCAACTGCAAAATTAATTCAATAAAACACAATTTAATAATGTAATCGAATATTTTTACCAAAGTAATATATGTACAAACAAATAATATCTTTGAGATAAAATCTTCACGAATAAACATACATCATTCTTTATTCTTATCTTTTCATTTCGTTTGTTTGCAATATTAATTTTACACTGTTAAATTCGTAGCGTCAAATTATACTCATTTTAAGTTATTTTTCACCATCCTATAGATCGCCACTGCTCCTAATCAATATGTCGTTAAATTAACTAAAACAATGTTAATATGACTAAATCAATGGAATTAAAATAATATTGTGTTAAACTAATACATTTCGACACACGGGGTAGTTAAAAATAACAAAATATTTAACTCAAGGTATTGGTTTAAAATTTATCCTTTAACATAACAGCGTTTATCGCAAAGAGCCTGTCGCTATTGGTCTATCTTCTTTTTAGAGATATAATTACAGTTCGCAATCTTTCTAAAATAATAAAATAGTAATGATCTTGATTCACTTTAATTCATCGGTGTTTTCTCTGCTCGCTACGTATCAGGCGCAGGTAGCACGAACAAAATCTCGTCCGTAAAGCCGTACTCGTGGGCGACGTATAAAGTCGCGGACGGTCCGTATCCGCGCTCCAGTCGGCGGCCGTGCCTTCTGCATCCGCGCGCGTGCCGTCGTATCCGTCAGAATCCATCGCACCGCGATCCCGAGACGAGAAAGTGGCTCGCCAAGGGGATCGCAGGAGATTCGCGTTTCACTTTCCAATCTTCGGGAATCCACCAGCTGAGGACGATACCGAATATATTCGGGCGGAGTGCATCGGGATCGCGTCAGGATGCGAGTCCCGACTGTGCTGATCCTCGGGCTGCTGGTTGTCTGCGCCGTCGATGGTAGCGTCGTATCCGACGAAGGTAAAAGGTTTCGATTTAAAAAGTGGCGAATTATTTGCGCGAGCAATTTCATATTGACGAGGTCTTAGCGTCGATCACTATATACGTTGATTCCGATTCGCGTTCTCTTCTTGCGAAAATAAAATGTTTCTCCCGCTATTCTCTCCGCGTTCCTGCACTGAAGACCATTCTCGGCGCGGCGCGACAAGAAACCCGGTAGTAACGTGGGATCGGTGACCAATACATGAGACTTTTCTCAGGTCACTCAACTATTGTATTCTATCGCAGAATTCTTCATATTATTTTTTTTTATGTATATTAAACAACGCAAATAAACTACAATTTCCTATTGATTAACAATTGAGCGATTTACTCAACGCAGGATTACTTTTACTTATGCTGTCTTCTCCTTTTTTTACCCTTCCGCCGTACGACAGCTCTAACTGCGAGCCTGCAAGACGCGTGGTACGAAGATGAGTTCATTATCGCGTTATCCAACATCAGAGACAAGAGGAAGCACTCCGGCGGCTCGCTCGAGACCCTGCTGGCTGTGAAATATCGAGAACCGAAAATGGTGCTCCTACTCGATCGACGGACGAAGCGCGGTGAGTCCAGAGATCTTCCCGGATCGCGATCCCTCGAGCCTCCGCATTTACAATTACTTACAACTTCAATGTTCCATTCCAGTTATACTCGAGAGCATGGATGATACCGGTCGACGCAGTGCCTCGCACGTCAACGTGGACAGCCTTGCGGTGAACACCCCTCTGAAGAGTCTGATTATCCTGGTGCATCAGACGCAGCCTAATTCTCGCATGGACGTGTACGTCGACTGCGTTTACGAAGGTTCTATACCGCTCAAGCAAACCTTCCGCGACATAGCCGAGATCGGGGACCAACCGTTAGTGGAAGTAGTAAGTTTTCTTACTTTTCACAGAATATTTTCCACAACAGTCTTACAAGCCTAAGTAAATCCTTATCGTTAGACATATTATCCTTATAGTGTTAATTCGCGCACTTTGCCGAGAAATTATTAAGAACGCGTAAACGCGAACACGTCATCCGAAATTGCTTTTTTTAACGCTAAATCTACAAATAAATTTCTACTTGTTCCCGCAACTTTAATTTTGCCCGATATTATTTTTTCCCGGCTGCTACTTTCTTCGCTCACGATCGTACAGTATTTTCTTATTTACGTGTTGTTCGTGACGTCCACAAACGTGGGACGACGTCTTTCCAAATATGGTTGACGAGACCTAAGCTAGTTGCTTCTGTTACGTGCACCTGGTTGGCTTACCCAACCCAGACACAACGATCCCTGACTACTCGGATGAATTGAATTCGTTTCAATGAATTATTCGCGCCCTATTTCTGTCACTGGCATTATTACATTCCGACTTTATGCAATGTCATAATTCCACGACTTAACTTTCTATTCTCGATAATTCTTGTGGACTTTTATATTTCTTTTTATTACGAAAATAAAAATTATTCTCCGAATTGCCATCTTGATTTCGACAGCAATTTAACAGTATTAAAAATATTGACAATTACTACGGCTATATACGTTATATATAGTTTTTTATTGTAGATTAAATGCACTAAATGTGTGTGCAATTTATTCTTATTTTTATTTAACTGACAATTCGTTAAATTAAAATTTATTCGATTAACAATAATATTAATTCATTATAATAAAATTAAAATTTCAAATTTTCTTTTAGTTTAAAGAACGAAAATGCCGAATAAAAGTGTATCAGCCTGCCACCATCACTGAGGTGCTGAAGAAAGAGCAATGTCCCGATAATTTAGCCGAAATGAAGCAGCCTTCAGTATTCGATAACCAACCGAAAGCACAACCTATCGATTCCGAGGAAGACGATCAAAAGAAATTTCCCGATCGACCTGACGGGAACGAATCAAGTGACGGAATCGACGGAGGGGGATCGAGCACATCAGATCATAACGGTTTGCCGTCTTCCAGTAGTCCGAAACATCCCTTGGATCATAAGAAACCTTCCGACAAGAAGGATCATCATGGTCGTCCGAGCGATCGACCCAAGAAGAAAGATCACTCGGGTCGTCCAGATAGCAAAAGCAAACCCAACAAACACGATCCGCACGACTCTGCCAATCCGTTTTCTCAACCTGGAAAATCGGGCGAAACGGACGATCTTGACTACCCAGATGGATCTCAACCATCGTCATTCACTCCTAAAGGACATCGACCTAAGAGACCACATCAATTTGGACCACCCACTAAACGACCCGATAGTCATTCAAATTCGAAACCCAATAAATTGAATCCATCCGACTCCGATAAGTCTGGAGCTGGATCAGATGAGTCGGACGGTCTTGATCCAAACGGATCTCGTCCTCCACCGTTCACGTCGCAGCCTCTGCATTTCACCGCGGCACATCGTCCTACTAAACGTCCTAAGATACCTGGGCTCGCTAAACCCGATCACACAGGTTCGAAGCCCGACAAACCGAATTTGTTTGGCTCTGACAAACGACCTGACGGATCGAGTCCATACGATTCTAATAAGAATCCTTCCCTAACGCCAGATGGATCAGACGAGACTGGATCTCCCAACAGTTCCAAGCGACCTGGTCGTAGTCCGTACTCCGCTGGTCCAGGTCAGGACGGATACGATTCGAATCAGACGGACATGCCGGACTCGTCGGACGAATCATCCGGCAAAAGAGTGCCCAGGAGAGGCGACATCGGGATCCAGAGTCTGGACGAGAGAGGTGGGTGAGATGAACGGACGTTTAAGTTAAGTTGTTTAACGTGTTCTCACGGCAAGTGTTTTCCAGTCTGCCAGACCGACGATCAACTCGTGAAAACCTTGAACGAATTAATCAACGCTACCAAGCAACTTTGGAGGGAACTGGAACTAAATGTGAGTTAAAGCAATAAAGCAATTTCTTCATTGTATGTGAATAAAAATCTTCGGAGATTTCAAATTAATATTTTGATAATATTAGAATAATATATATATAAATACGAAAAATCTTAAAGCGTTATATTTCTTCTGATTATATATAAAATAAAAATGTTTTTTTTTTTTTAATATAAGATTACATAAAGGGTATGTTTTATTATTGAATTATTTTGGCAGAAGAAAGTGCAACGTTATTCGATTACAAGAAAAAAAAATGCGTGCAACTTGAAGGACTTACGACTCTTTCGTTTTTGCAGAGGATGGAAACCCAGCATCTTCGTCACTTGATCGAAAACTGCTCGGCGTGTCGTACACCCATCGGTGAGTGACGTTCCGTCGTATTGAAAGGACACGTGCTCGAAAATAACAGTTCTTTTAACTTAGAAGCTAGCCAAAACCGCATCGTAATGCCAGTTTGAATGAATCTTATTAATCTATCTCACGCGCGTCGTCCTTCACGCCCTCGAAACTTTAATCTGTACGTGGCAATTGTCAGCGGAGACTACCTATTTATATGCAATAGTTGTATTAAGCAATCTTACAACGCAATAAATGCCTGTTGTTAGAAAAAATTCAACTTTGTTGTGACTCTTGTATTCTTGCGCAATCTAGCACGTATATTCACATGTTTCTTTCGATATGTGTCCCAGTTAGCGGGAGCTTTTACTTAAGCATTTAAAACGCGATATTTGTAACCATCATAAAGATCGCAAACGTCGCTAATTTCTCCGAGTTAATAGTTCTTCGATGACAAGTTTACAATTTATACAAAGATCCTGTTGCAGTATAATCGAGGAAAAATTTTACTTTTTCTGTCTCTCTCTCTCTCTCGCTCGCTCTCTTCTCTTCTTTATTTCTTCAAATAAACGTTTTGATGTTCCATCATCAGAAATTGAACTAAAATTAATATAAAACAGCTTTGCAACTGCGTTATTGTTATCCCTCATTACATTGTTCTTATTCTAAAATCTAAAGAGATAAAGAATGCGCACAGGATCCGCGACGTCGATCTTAAGTCGATCTCTTTAAGCACTTAACGTATATCACTTGCACGTGCACGTACGACACGCTGGGCCGTCGCATAATTTTCTGGGCCCGCGCCGGGCCCGCTCGGCGACGCGCACGGCGCGTATGGGAGACCGGCTGTCGAAAATCCCCCGAAAAATTGGCAATTCACTCGTCAATCGAGCCGTGATCCCGGTAATTCCGTAGTGACACCGCCGCCGTCCACGTGCGACCATAACTCCCCGTGCTACCCCGGCGTCGATTGCCGTAACACACCGAGCGGACCCCAGTGCGGACCCTGTCATCGCGGTTACACCGGAAACGGGCGGGTCTGCTCCAAAATCAATGTCATCACCTGCATTCAACGGCCGTGCTATCAGGGGGTGCGGTGTTACGACGACGACGACAATGGTTACAGGTAAGAGATTGTCACTAAATGTATAATGATCGCGCGCTCTCAAGTCCGTAGAATAAGATGAAAGGTATAAGACTGATGAATTGAAGATGATACCTTGATGATGATGACAAACATGTAATGTAAATTTCACGAGGACGTCTGTCACAATTTGATTTATAATTCTGTTTTCAGATGCGGCAGATGTCCAAGCGGATACGAAGGCGACGGTGAAAGATGCGAAAGGATGAGAAATCCCTGCGACCATCACCCCTGTCATCCGGAAGTTAAATGCTACCCCACTCACAGCCCACCATATTTCAAGTAAATGTCTCACGGGCATATTATTAATTTTTGAGATAAATTCTTTCTGTGAAAGCACAGAATTTTATTTTAAGAGAGAAACAACTCGTTTCTCAAAATTATGTAATTAACAAACTTTTGACGTAAGATTTAGTATAAGAAACGATATAAAAATGTTCATGTCTGCTTAGCTTCGCAATTCTTCATCGAGTTTTATATATATATATTTTTTCATATGACATAGAATATCATTCGAGTTTCGTGTATCTTTCATCGTGTGTCACGTATATCGGGTGTCATCGTATGGTTCTGGTTAATCTCAAATGTGATACAGATGCGGCTCATGTCCATTGGGATACGTGGGTAACGGCACGTCCTGCCACGACGCGAACGAATGCGAGCTGGCGCGACCCTGTCACCCTGGAGTGCGGTGCATTAATCTCCATCCCGGATACAGATGCGACCGGTGTCCAACGGGTTACACGGGACCCATGACGGAAGGCGTCGGTGTCGAGATGGCCAGGACGCGGAAACAGATCTGCCAGGACATAAACGAGTGCGACATCAATAACGGCGGATGCGATCCCCATTCCGAATGTATTAACACGGAGGTGAGAAATTTACGAAGATTTTTCAACTCGTGCATTTTAAAAAGAAACGCTAGGCTTTTTATCTCGTTTTGTGTGTTTCAACGATATGTTACTCTTCGTTCTTAAAGGGATCCTACAGATGCGGCCCGTGCAGAGGCGGTTATATCGGCAATCAAACGTCAGGATGTCATCTTCAGCATGACGTCTGTCCGGACATGGTAACGGTTTGTGATGTTAATGCTAATTGCATCGCCAGGTACACCAACGAATATGTATGCAAGGTAAGCGTTTCCATCGTGTATCGTGTATCATCCAACGAAAATTGTGCCGAAAGCTCAAGATTTACCATATATAGAATTCCTGGTTCTATTATCCAGAAATAATGTTTTATTTAATATCACAATGAGAATTGAGAAATATTAAATATAAGCTTAGTGGAATAAATTCAGAAAAGACGTTATTTAGAAGAATTTGCGAAAAATAATTGTCTCATCTTTGTAATTCTCTCTAGACTTTTATAATTATAACAATTTATAATTAATTGCTAATTTAATTACCGAGTAGTCTAATTTTACTGATTAAAAATCGTATCTTTTGCAGTGTCGCGTCGGCTGGGCCGGAAACGGATATAGTTGCGGTCCCGACAGCGACAGCGACGGCATCCCCGACAGGAGCCTTCGCTGCCACGACCGTCGTCGCTGTCACGCCGACAATTGTCCGACGGTGCCGAACAGCGGCCAGGAAGACGCCGACGAGGATGGAACCGGCGACGCTTGCGACGACGACGCGGACAACGACGGCGTATTGAATCTGTCCGACAACTGTCTGCACATTTATAATCCGAACCAGCTGGACAGCGACAGCGACAAGATCGGCGACGCCTGCGACAATTGCCCGTTGAATTGGAATCCGCATCAGGAAGACTACGACGATGACGGCTCGGGCGACGCGTGCGATCACGATCTGGATAATGACGGTATAAATATTTAAACGTTGAAAAGGAAGTCCGGATTAAACGCCGAGTAAAAAAGACATAACGAAAAATAAGGAGAAATGCCGATTAAAAAGTCACGTTCCACATATCGCTATTTCACGTTAGAGAATGATTATTAATTGAAGCTATCGCGACAATCCCTCTCTCTCTCTCTCTCTCAACGCGCGAATAATGTCGCTCATAAAGAGATATCGTCCAGGTATATACAACACTCAGGACAACTGTCTCAAGATAAAGAATTCGGATCAGCGCGACAGTGATGCGGACGGCATCGGCGACGTCTGCGACAATTGTCCTGCCATTAGCAATCCCGACCAAGCGGATATTGATGCCGACGGCGTCGGGGATGTTTGTGACACCAACGCGGATCGCGACAGGGATGGCGTCCAGGACGACAAGGATAATTGCCCGGACATGCCGAATCCCGGACAGAACGACGGCGACCACGATGGCTTCGGCGACGACTGCGACGACGACATCGACGGGGATGGTATACCCAACAGGAGCGATAACTGTCCTTACGTCTACAATCCGGATCAACGTAGCACTCGTAAGTTTTTAACGGATTCTTTTCTAAGAGCGTTTAGATTGTAAGATCACAGGATAATAATGTCGTCTGTGAAAAATGGTTATTAATTGTTAGTTGTGGAAAAGGACGTGGAGATTAACTTCTATATTTTGTACGTAGACGGCAGAGGCATTGGTGATGCATGCTGGAACGACAACGACAATGACACGGTTATCAACATCGAGGATAATTGTCCTAATAACAGTATGATATGGGCGACAGATTTCCGTAAATACACCACGGTCGCTCTCGATCCACACGGTACCTCGCAGCAAGATCCCGTGTGGAAAATTCATAATCAAGGTGCTGAGATCCAACAGACTCTTAACAGCGATCCCGGAATCGCGATAGGTAAGTCCATATATCTCTATCACAAAGATATATACCTACTATCATATAAATTAAATTCAACGGATGTAAGAGATGAGATCTTAATTAATTATATTAACTAGTTCTATGAAGAAATATTCATATTTTCGTATATCCTTTTTATATCCGTCTTCTTTGTCTACAAAGGAGCGGACGAGCTGAGTAACGTCGACTTCGAAGGAACCTTCTACATTGATAATCACGACGACGACGATGATTTTGCGGGCTTCGTCTTTTCCTACCAGGATAATCGACATTTTTACGTTGTTTATTGGAAGAAGGGAGAGCAGGTCTATTGGGAACCGGCTCCATTCCGTGCCGAAGCAGATCCCGGGATTGTATTGAAGCTCGTCCAGTCCGAGACCGGGCCGGGCGAGATGCTCCGAAACAGCCTCTGGCACAAGGAGGACACGCCTAATCAGGTGAGGGTCCTGTGGAAGGACCCGAGAAAGTTCGGCTGGCAGCCAAGGGTGTCGTACAGGTGGCATCTGTTGCACAGGCCTAAGATCGGCCTGATCAGATTCTGGTTGTATCAGGGCACGCAGCTGGTAACCGACTCCGGGAACGTGTTCGACTCGACTCTGCAGGGCGGTAAACTAGGTGTCTATTGCTTCTCGCAGGAGATGATCACCTGGTCGGATTTGATGTATAGGTGCACAGGTAAAACGAGCAATCTTGATAGCAATTTGTATGCAGCGCAAACGTAACGCGTCTCATCATCAGAGACTTAAATTACTCATATCACAATTCAATTAAAATTTAATTAAAAGACATTGATGTAATTTTATTCAAACAAGTTAAACTAAAATGTGATGTAAATTTAACCGAATAATTGAAACGGAGAAATAATTTACTTGGAAATTCCCAAGATATTTTAAGCTGAAAATAATTACAATTGTGACATTTACAGACGAAGGTTCAACGTTATTTTTCAGATACTGTGCCTCAACCTGTGTGGGATCAGTTACCTGATAATTTAAAGAGGGAGGTTCAGGCGGAGATTGCTTCCAACTACCAACAGCAAATAATACAACGCAGAATGAATTACGACTTCTAAAACAGGCTCTCGATGATTTACCGTAACGAGTAAATGAAGAAGGGGAGGATCGCGAGGATCAGATCTAAATCTTCATAATTTTAATTTTAAAATAATCGAGGAGCCACGAGCGAATTATAATCTACTATAATAAAACGTCAAAATATGCGTATTTCTGACGCATTTAAATAAACTTAATTTACATAAATTTGAAATTTTATGATAAATTTTGTATATTTTATATATATAGATGTCTTGTGTAACAAAAAGATATTTAATATTTCACAAAATGACGAATATATTTCTCCTACTTAACCCATTAATCAATTTTTATTGTATTTAGAAAAGTTGTATTATCTCAGTTTCGCTAAAAATCAAACGTACTTACCTTGTGCAGACGTAGAGAATAATACGGAATCACGATATATCGATTAATATGTACGTTAACTGTAGTCTGAGATGTATGGAATCGTAATGATTTTAATGACTTTTTGCATTTATTTGTATCTCTCTAAGGTGCAACTTGCATAAAAATAATTTTCGTATTTAATAGAGCAAAATAAAATAATAATCGTCAATACTTGAATTGCACCGTTATTCATTTTAATCGCTTCACTTGTCCAACGTGTGTAGCATCGAAATATAACAAATAACAAGTTCAACATTAATATTCTTCATATTTCATCCCTGAAAAGATAATTGATAAATGTTAGTGGGATAGGGCGCAGTGGGCAAACGATGCAGAAGACGACGACGTTATTCTTCGATTAAACAATTTATTCGTACGAAAATGTCAAAGAAAGATACGACTATTAATAATTTAACGCTGAATCATCCGATCATTCTCGTAACACGTCTAACAGAGTATGTTTTACAGATTTTCACCGACGAAACGGCAACGGCTAGAATTACATGCGAGGAAACGATTTAAGGATAAAACTTAAAGAGAAACTTTTAGCTTTTTGGCGAGTCGCCAAAAGGCCAGCGCAAGATCGCGAATCTCGCTGACGAGACGTGAGAGACAAAGGAAGGCGTGACGGAACGGAAATGCTGTGAGGTATTAAATTCGAATTTTATTTGCTTCGCTCACAGGACGTGTGTGACGCTTTGTGGAATTAACTTGAGTAATTAATTCGTGGCTCCCTAAGTTAATGATCCTTATTGAAATTGACGTAAACAGTCTTCTTACAATGCTTGTTCCCTTGCGGCATTTACAATAATCGAGACGAGATTTTCTTCTTCTTTTTTTTTTCTTTTTCTGTTGCGAAACCATTGATCGCCGTCGCCACGATTCTCGTGACGGCCAAATCCTGCTACCTCTTCGAGAGGCACCCTCTCTCGCTCTCTCTCTTCTTCTTTCTCCTCCTTCTTGCCGGCGCTCTAAACACGAGATATCGACTATCCCTCCTAAACGCGTGTTCACGCTAGTACGAGTTGGATCGTGCGACATACATTGTAATATTATCGTAATATATAAATACGAGAAGATTCTAGCTAGAGAATAAATTATTAAAATCTATCTAATTAAATCGAAGGAGAAACGGGAGAGAGGGAGATGATTCTTAATAGTCTACCTATCTATTTACACTAGGGAACGAAATGCACGTGTGCGAGTCCGCGTCGTCCGCGACTCTCGAAGTTTCGTCTATACCGCGCGCAGCTTCCCGACATCGCGACAGAACATGGAACGCTTCGAAGCTTCGCTTCTTCATTTTTTTTTTTTGCTAGAGTAGAGTCGCGCTCGCTGTGACGCGACGCGTTGTGGCAGTGGTCGCTCAGAACTCGCTGATTAAGGCAGTTAGCACGCCTCGAACGGAAAGGAGTTAAGTCGGTAGTGTCCCCCCGACGAAAAGGACACTTCACGCAGTGGGATCGATTGGCGGCTGCGGTCCAGCAACGCGCTGACACACGATTGGGAACAGTCTTTGTTTCGGAGATCGCGGAGGATCGTCGCGATCATTGTCGTCATCATGCTGGTTCTTCGCCGATTATCCGTTAGCCGAGACTCTTATAATTAACGCTGACTCTATTGGATGACGTTAGTAAAGCGTTCGATAATTTTTCTTGTCTGCAAAGGTTTGCAGATAGAAAAAAAACTTCTCATTGTGCGAAACTATTCGCCAGAAACGGACTATTTGATTCCTTTTTATTGGCGTACTTACTCTTGTTAGCAGAGAGTTTCTCGTGACGCGGCGGATCGAAACGACTTTCAACTACTCATCGGTGCGAATGATGAACTCGACGCTCGCGTGCTTAATAAATGAAAATCGACTGGCGAATATCTGTAATCTCCGTCAAAAAAGTAATATCGTTAAGATATGATGCGCACGAATATATAAAAGACTCAAGGGATTGGATGAGAGGAGGAAGATGTGTTTGCGTTTCTAACGCTTTAACAGCGTAGAAACGAACGAAAACAACTTGCCTTTTCCCGGAATTAGAATGGAGGAAGGACTCGCTGAAGCTATTGTTAAAGTTGACGCTCGACGAAACTGGCCTTCGGAGTTGCGTAAAAATGTGAACGGTCGTTAAACGCGATTGTTAGTTCGTTTTCGATCAGAATCGTCGAGGCAAGCGCGTTATTGCCACGCGCCTATGCATTTGTTTCCTTCGCTATCCCCAGGTGGACAACTTACCGCGCAAATGTTTCGCGTTTTTCTGGCTCTAATGATCGGCGACTCTTCGACGCGATCGTTACACGTGCCACCTCGCATATTTCTGGAACGGATTCTATGCAAATGCCCGAGAGAGAGAGAGACGGCTCGTCGTTCGCCCGATATTTATTTATTCGAACGAATGTGCGTCTTCCCGGGAAACGTCTGAACTCACGATGCTGGAATGTTTCCTGAAAAGTGCGATCTCCACTCGACGACGATGCGGAAGGGATGTGCTTTTAAATTAACGTACGTCGTAGGAGCGCGATCGAGCCGCCTAGCTGGCAGGCGATTTTTTCGGAAGAGAATCTCCATCTATATCGTCTCGTGTAAACAATATCAGCTGAAAATGGAAGATACATTTAACGGACACACGGATATATTGATACCGCGTCAATCTATCGCACATCTTTATCGCCCTTTGGAAAGAACTGTCGATCGATTAAACCGGAAGAAGCGAGATACGTCGAAGATACGTAAAAACACGGTAAAAGGCTCTTCACTCATTCCGCACAGTGGTCAGCAGAAGATTTTGTTCCCTCTGGGAAAGTTTCACTGACAAAGGTCCATAACTTTCAGCGATCGTTATGCTGACCGCGAACATTGTATATTAGCCTAAATCGAAGCAAAACGAACGAATTTATCGCGCACAACGCTCGATATTCGATCGGATTGATTACATCAAGAATACGAACGTCACGTTTGTGAAGTCTCTTGAATTTTTTGTTCCGAACGACCAAGCACCTCAGCGTTGCTTCTTCGTTACGAAGAGTTCTGCGTCACGAAGAGCGCAGATGGTCGAGGTGCTGGACGTGACCTCAGGTCACCAGGCCTCCGTGTATCGAACGTCGAATTCCTGCAGGGCCGGCAGTCGCTTCTTCAATGACTCGAATGTCTGAGCCGACAGCTTCGTGCTATTCAGGTTCAATTTCCTTAGGCTGGTTAATGCTGTAACAAAGCGATAGCACTTTCTTCGAACGACAGATCGAAATATATATAGATTCACATAAAAAACTTGAAAATAAAAATTGAATATTTTGAAATACTTTTTACACTTCTCTTGTTGTATATTGAACAATCAAATCTCATATAATGTAGCGAATTTGTATCTTCTAAATCTAGCTTTTTGATCTGCTTCATACTTTAAGATTAATTTTACCAAATTCTAGCAAAGAAATTAAATCATTATTACACTGAAGTTCTGGTATCAGGATACTCACAGGCCAACGTGGAGATGCCTTTGTCGGACACGGGCGTCTCGCAGAGGTTCAGCACCTGCAGCTTCTGTAGGTGCTCGCTGATCATCTGTAGGCCGGCGTCGCCGAATTGCGTGGCCCACAGATTCAGGTATCTCAGCGCCGGTAATTTTATCAGTTGTTCCGCGCAAGCGGACGTCACGGAAGTGAAGGCCAGGCTGAGGCATTCGAGATTACCGAGGGCACGACCGCCCAGCAGAAGAGCGACGTCGGCGTCGGTCGCTCGTACGGGTAGCGTCAGTTTTCGAGGTCCACCTTTTTGTTGCTGATGAAATCGAATACATACATACGTACGTGCATAGAATGGCATTAGGATTTGACATAATTTATCGTCGAATTATCGTCAACGTTAGTTCAAAAGAAAAAAAAAGGGACAGCAAAAGCACCAAACGCGAAGATTCGATCGGGACGCGCGCGACTGGCGAATTCACTTACCAACTCCTGCAGGTTCTTCTGCCTCTGGCAGAGAGCGGCGTAACGCTCCTTCCCGGATTTCGTGGACTCGAGCGCGTTGACTATCTGAAGCCTCGCCTCCTCGTTCGGCAGCAATCGCCACTCGAGCATCAAGCAGAGCGCCTCTTGCGCGGCGTCACAGCCCCGCACCGCCAGCAGAATGCAATCGTCGCCCGCCTGCTTCAGCAGAGACGCGATGAACCTCTTTCGCCGACAGCAGCACGCCAGCAGAGTCGTGAGCTGTCGAGAACGCGCGCTGTTACAACATCTGTCCGAATCTTTCGTGCATTCCAAATGACAGAGAAAAATTCCCACGCTCGTTAATTCAACTTAAAATAGGCCAATGTATAGCGGATTCTCGGCCCGCTCGTTAAAATTCCTCGATGACGGGATCGACGATGGAATTATGATCTCGATTGTAATCAAGAATTGGAATTTACTCGCTGGAAGGATCATTGGACGTCCTTCTGTTCCGTTCCGCCAGCCCGCAATCAACCCGACAGACTTCATTAATTCCGTGCGATTGTGGCGATTCGATTTCGCTGTTATTTCCGAGAGGATTGGAGAATTGATGCTGTCAATACGGGTCCATTGAAGACGACGCGCCCGCGCATCTCAAAAGAGCGATTCATGAATATTCAGGTGGACCTCCGATCGAATCGCGCGTAGAATAATCGACGCTGCCGCCTCGACCTCCCTCCCCCGTGGAGGCGGGGAGAGGAGGAGAAGGGGAGCGAATTGTTTCTGAACAAAACAGATCTTACTCCAGTGTGTGTTATCGCGCGCGGCCCGGAGAGGCGCAATTCGAAACGCTTGGCTCGCGAGATTACGTTACCGAATACACCACACAATCGTTTCACGTGCGGATAAATTCGATGCCGTTGCGCCGATAAGCGCGATATGCGTATCCATCCACATGTATTCTGTTTATTTCGCCGTTAGATGTTTATATCTTTCGTGCGATCCAAATATATAAATATCCAAATATATAAAACGCGGTATAATAGGAACGATTTACATGAAATTAAAGAAGTTAGATAAGCATTGTAACTTTGTCTCGAATATCTTAGTCTTCGCGGGAGGTCTTACTGAAGATTTAACATTAATGAAATTTTCTGCACGAGAGAAATGCTTCTCATAAATATCATCATCTTTTATAATTATAATTAATGAGAATTTTTAGCCGCAAAGAAAGCTACGTTTTAAAGCTCTAACCAAGATTCATTATAAATTCTACCAAAATTGTAATTAATGGTACGCGAAACAAAATATAACATAGTCTTCGTAAAAAAATAAAAACAAAATTTGATAGAGACTCACCATCTCGCCGAACAATTCTCCGCGATCTGGGCAAACCGGGTTGGACGGCGCGGCGATGTGCATCCAGCCTGGACGCGGTTCTCTAACAGGCAGCAGGACCCGATGCACCGTGCACCTCGGGTCCTTCGCCAGTCGTTTCATCACGCACAACAACACGGACTCCTGCACTTCTTTCACAGCCAAAGCCTCCTCCGGGAACGGGACGGGCTGCAGTAGTGCCCCGAGACCCGGACGCCAGTCGGTGTACTCCGATCTGCAATGTCGTTTCCCCCGATATGTGAGACGCGTTTAGATTGTTTAGAACCGAGAATTTCAAACGTGAAGCAGGTAAGATGCGAGAGGCTCGTTTGTCAAGTGAGCGCAACACTTACGCGATGTTCAAGACAAGCAGGTAGCACTGCAACGGCGGCAACGACGGCGACTCGTCCTTTTCCAACGACGCGCGACTCGACACTTCGAACCTGCGAATACGGAATCAAACATCGTTGAGAGTTTCGTCTGATTCGCGATACGGGAATCCAGTTCCATTAATAACTTGGGCGAGACTTGCCTGTAGAATATGGCCGCGACGCAGATGGACACGAGATTGGGGAGTACCCGCGGGTGCGGACAATCGCTACCCGGCCCGTGAACCGACGAGATGTAGTCCTTGATCGCCTGTTCGCCGTCGTTGTTCTCGTACAAAGCGGCGATGAATACCTAAAACATACGGAACGCAACGTTACAACTGCACACATTCGCGCTTCCCTATCGCTTATTATTTAAGTCACAATTAATTCGCCCAACCAACTAGAATCGTCAGAATAGCAAAAGCTTATTTTTTTTACGCATAATTTTTATACCGTTAAAACGAGAGGGAATGAACGATCTCCCTTGATCTCGCTGTGTAATCAAACAAAGTAGCGTAAGACTTATCAGACGCCCTCACCTGCAGCAGCTTTCTCATGTCCGGCGACTTGCCAAAATCAACGGTGTGCTTGAGGCATCTCGTGATCGCCGGGCTGAGCATCGGGACCAGCTGCGATCGCGGATGCTGTTGCGCCAGTCTGGCGAGTACCTTCGCGAGCGCCGCCGGCGGCGCCGCTTTTTCCAGAAGAGGGGCCGCCACGGCGAGCACGGCCTCCGCCCAGCTCCTGCGATCGCGCACCACCTCCTCGGTTTTCCCGTCCGAGTCGACTTCCGCGCTGGGCTCGTCCAGCAGTTTAATGACCGCCTCGAGCGGCGTGCCCGCCACCCTCTCGTCCTCGAGCGGCGTCCATAGGGCGAAGTCCACCATAGTGCGCAATTCGCGCAGTATCACCTCTTCCCGAGTGCTCATCGACACGAGGTGTTGGTATTTGAAGATATTTTTCTACGAGTAGAGACGGAACGGTTCCGGATGATTCGTGGTATTCGAATTCGAGCTATTTAATCGGCATGTTTTATCGTTAACAATTCGGAAATAAAAAAGCCCTAAGATAGTAAATATAATATGGAAAGAGATGTAATATAAAGAAATCATACGCAAGAGTATACTTATAAATAGAAGAAAAAATTTTTATAACGAAATTTATTATTATACGGTTTGCGTGGAAAGTTGGGGTCCCATGTGGGATCATTTTATGTTAAGAAACAACTTTCTTATAAGAGTCGCTGAGAAGGTTACAATAATAAAGGTTGAGTTTAGGTTTTTTTAAGGTGAAGGTGCAGAGGAGGGTCGGATTCCCCTCCCGCGCTTGTACATGATACTATTTTCACATACCTACATATTAGTTAGTTATGTCTTTCAGTACTGAGAATATTTTTCAAACTTCTTTCGTGAACAACTTTTTAATAAATAACGAGCGACTTGCTAAAACCTTTTAAGAATTACCCAGAAGGTTGATCTTTATCATAAATGTATGTGTGTGAAGGATAAGGTCATTAGAGGTGTCTTCCCTAACAAGAGTTTTACTTTGTTTGCTGCTAATTAAATATAAAAATTGGATTAATTGAAATTAAATGCCAAAATGTCATTACGACGCATTACCCGTGTCTATAGAACTGGCAAAATTGAATTAAAACAACTGGCAAACATGGTCAATCTGATCTCGGTAAAAGTCATCGACATCCAGACCGTACGGACGATGTTTTCATTGGGAACATATAACGTCGTAAACAATAAAATTCGATCAATCTTTATGGTCGGCCCGATCGCTGCGATTTACTCGTCGCTCCGCCACGACGAGAGGCTGATTAATTTCCCGGCCGGATATTAAACCGCTCGCAGCAACCTCCATAAAACACTGACGTATCCGGGAGATTTGATCCGGTCGAGGACGATCGGGAACGTTCGCCTCTCTCGCGCCGTTATCACTTCCTTCTGCTCCGGCCTCACATTGTCGGGCGTTAATAACGCCTATGTTTGCTCTGCCGTTTTCTGCCGATGCCACGTCAGGCCATTGTGGAAGGCCGATATTTTAAAAAATATTTGGTATCAGCGTTCGCATTCGCGGGGATGAACGGCATCGATCGTTCTCCGCTCGAAAAACGCCATTCGAAAGATGGGCAAACACAATGCTCTATTGTTAGCTTAAAAACTTAAAAATTGTTCAAAAGTCCATCACTTTTTTATCGCTATTAACACAGTAAACAAGCAGTGATGAATCTCACAACGTGGCCGAGCAATAAAATATGAACGTTAAATCCAGTCAGTTCCGACGATATTCGCATTTTATATCTGATTCTTATTCTTCAAAACCTTTTCCGTTTAAAACTACTGCGTTGATGGAAATAATTAATTAAAATGGATAATATTAAACGATAATAATTTTTCTTAAATAATAAATGATAATTTACCTTCCATAATATCGAGTGGTACCACTGGTCCCTCGTGTAAGCGTTATTGGCTTGCAGAAGAAGCGAACCGTCTGGTAGGACGATGCTGAGGCAGTTCTTATACGCGGGGTCCCACCTAGCGACAACATACTTCCGAACCTCCGACATGCTGCTGTACGGAACAGGTTGCTGAAGAAAACCCGTCAGCTAAAAGAGACGAATAAAGGAAATTCAGAGATCATTAAGGAAGTTGAAAAAAATTTGATGGCTTTTTTTAAAAAGCGTTGTAATCAAATAATTATATCACTAGCGAGTATAATCGGATTAAAAGTGTATAAGCTTTTTTGAGCTCGTTACCATTAAAAAGACTATTATGCAAAGTGCTAATACGCACGTAAAATCTCCACAACATGTAGAAGTAACTCGATTTCCATACATCAGGATATATAATGTATCCTGATATATTTATAATTTATAATATATAAATAGTTAATATAATGTCGATATTATTAATAAGCATAACAAAAACAGTAAAATTAATTACGTATAATAATCGGTCCAGTTAGCGGTTTCGCTTATATAATCAAGAGATTATTTTTATGCTCAAGCTAAGCTAAAAATAATCTGTCATTATAATTTTATTAATCTGTCATTAATTTATTTGCGTCAGAATTATTTCGTATTCATTATCGACAATTATTTTACAATTGGCGAAAAAAACCCGTGGTAATTACATTCTACGAAAAAAAGAGACGAAGAGAGAAATTGTAATAAGATTATAATCCAGTGACTTGTCATAAATCGAAATGGCTTTTCGCGTTTCATTGTGGAAAAACACAATCAAATGGGATCTATTATATGCACATCGATCATCAATCATTTTCCCGATTTATGTCGGACATAATCGCGGATTATTATTGTCGTTTGACGTATGAACTCGACAAATGAACGTCATCTATCGATTACATAAGTTCGTTCACGTGAGGCAGATAATAAGAATCTCTCATATGTAATATCTGCAATTATTCCGCAAAAAGTCATTATACCGATAACCAAATGAAAAAATGTCACGCAAATTTCTTTACAGCGAAATTAAAATTAACCAGCGCACAAACCGCACATTATAGTTCGAATTACGATTCAGAAAAGAACGGTGAATTATTATTAAGTTCATACGATTTCTTTTTTCAAATTACTGATTTACATTTCTTACACAATTTCTGATTTAAGAAAAAAAGAGAGAGTTCCGTTCTAAATGATTAAAGGTGAAATCGCTAATCGCTATTTTAATTTATACAAAAATCGCCGCGCGATTTCGTTTTCAGCTTCGGCGAACACGACGAATTTCTTTTTTCTTTTTTTTTTGCAACAGCTTAATATTAAGCCTCTGAGGTAGTTTTCCAGACTTTCGACGCGCACACAGATCGGCCTTTAGGAATGACGCAATCATACTTGCCGTAACGAGGTGTATGAATGTATAAAGCGATACCAGCGAATCTCTCTCTCTCTCTCTCTCTCTCTCTGGCCATGGCAACAAAAAAGCCGACTTGGCAAAGACGCGAGAAGGAGAGATGGAGAGGGGAAAGAGGGAGGGTGAAAAAGGGACGGTGAATCGAGGGAGAAGTTGCATAATACAGCCTGACGAGGACAATGCGCCCTGGTTCGCGCATCACTTCGGCGGTGTCTCGTGTTCTCTGAGACTGCAGCGCGGGGGATGACGCGGTACCTTGTGCATGTATGCATTGTATATATGTGTATGTGTGTGTGTATTCGTGTGAATACGCATTCGCGTGGCCACGTGTAAACGTAATATCGGCGACCAGCGCACACAGAGACGCGAGCACCTGCGTGTGGAATAGTGAATGACGTCAGCGCGGGGTGCCGCGAATCTAGGCCGAGGGTTGAACGACTGTTGGAGCAGACTCGACCGAATCTGGGGCACTGCATCCCCTTCGCTAAACGTGGCCGAAAGCGATGCTATGCGAGCGAAACAGGAGCCCACGCCGATCGTGCTGGAATTCGCGCAATATTCTTGCGGAAGAGTGCGCGTGGCCGATCCCAATTTCAGTTCGCGATCGGAAGTGCGTGTTAATTTGCGCGGTTAAACTCCGCGAAACCCGATCCGACCTGAAAAAAGGTACGATCGCGGCAAAAGGGAACGCGAGCGAGGTGGAAAAGAAGCGAATATAAATCATTGAGGAGCTGCGTGATCCGCGCCCCCTTCAATGCCGCGCACTGATAAATATAATGATAAGCGCTCTCAAATGCAGAGATTGCAGAGAGAAAAGGAATCACGCTCCGCGGCGAGGTATGGGAGGCTCCTCGTATGCATTTATGTGGATCAGAGAATGATTTACTTTGTTTGCCCGACGAGCCCGGGTCTGCAAATCGGACGTAGTTGTGCGTGTGCTGTTAAATAATATAGCTGAATAATTAAATGATGAATAAAATTCGCTTGCGTGCGGCAAATGAGCTGTATTTCATGAATAAATATCCCTTTTACGTTTGGCCCGCGTTCATTAGAACTTCATGCATATCACCGATTAAATAAGGCCGGTATTCATAGTCGGTTCTTATATTTAAGACCATCTTAAGTAACAATTTTAAGATGTCATTAACCAATCACAGAGCCGTATTAGCATATTACTTAAGATATTACTTAAAACGGTTTTGAAATACGATCGGATTACAAATACCGGCCTAAGTTTTAAGTTTCGTTGTCTACGGCGAGGATGTGCAGACATTTATGCGCGATGCGCTAAAAGTAAAAGAAAAAAAGTCCGCCGCGCAGCGCGCTGCGGACGTTTACGCCGTTACAAAGGGCGCACGACGTGAATAATATGCAACTTTTTTTTCGCCGTATCTTTCGATTCCAAGGTCATCTTTTGTAAACGGCTTCACGCTCTTTTTATGCATCTGTGCTACGGAGACTGCCATGCATATGCATGCACCGTGCATATTCATGCGTGACGTAAACGATAACGAAACGACTGCGCCCATTACTTAATTCCGAGAATAGCTAAATTTCGCGTATACCCGTAATAATAACTTGATGCACAGGTGCGGCTATTATTCCCGCGGCTCCGCAATCTTCTCTCTCTCGGCTTATATACCGCCGTTCAAATCGCACGTTTCGTGCGTGGCGACGAAAAGCCGGGGCGGGCGCCGCGCGTATATACGCGAGCTCCTCTAATTAAGAACGATGGATAACATTATATCGCAATGTACACGCGCGTCGCTATCAAGGATATCGAACGTCAATGCGTAAAATGATGAATAAAGCTGCAGAGGCCTGTGAACGATACGCGAGCGCGGCCTGCCTGTAATTCTCTTTTCGCTGAGGAATTATACGTGCAATTTGAGATGTACTCTATACGCGAAAAACTCGATTCCGCAGTCACGCTGGTAACCGAAGCGTAAATCCCTCAACGACCCGTCATTGGATACCCGCAAACACATTATATACACACGATCGTTTTATTTTCGGCGCCGGAATCAGCCTTTTTTTATTCGCGATGCCTATTTTTTGCGTCCGCGCGACACGCAATTATATAATTCGAGGCTGCGATTGCATTGGTCGTTCGGGACGTAAGCGCGACGAGCCGCTCATTATCACGCACAGGCCAGAATGACGCGTTATCGCATTCGCAATTGCGTTTCAATCAAATTGCGATTGTTTAAATGCCATGAAACGCCGGCGATTCGTGTCACGAGTTCGCGATTCGCGACGCTTCCGGCGCGATTCTGCAATTGCAGATCGGCGGTCGGCGTGTTGAGCGATCGTGCGTTACATATGGAAAAAGGGACGAAGGCAGGCATATGGCCATAATGCCTTTGTGTCGCCACTTACGATAAATGGCATCGCATTATCTTATAAGCGCATCGCGTATAACGTATAAGCGACGATCATTACAAACGTTCAACGCGCCGGAAAATAAAATACCTTAGAAGCGCCGTGTAGAATTTGTAAAGCAACGGTGAAAACCGTCGTTGAATTTCACGAAAAATTCTCCATTCGGTGCCAGCAAAAATGTCACAGCCAGGCCCGAATCTAGTATCGATCGACGAAACGTCTGTTCCGAGTTGGTCGGAGAGTTTATACCTTCTTTTTGTTACATTGTATATTATATTATTGAAATTTTTCCGTTATTACAATTTTTTATCGGCTTGCATAAAGCGACGAGGTCAAAAAAGAGAAAAAAAAACGTTAGGAGGAATGACGTTCGCGCCGGCTCGTCTCCGTGGAAAATATAGCGGAAATATAATATAAAATGTTACGACGCGAAATCTCTCACTTTGTGTCGTTGTCTGCCCGCTCCGCCGCGTGATGCATTTCTGTAGCAGAAATTCTTTCGATTTAGTATCACGACAAACGTCCAATTACATAAAGGGAAGGCAGAGACATCGCGGGCACGTGCCGCAAAATTGCACGTGGCCAATTTGTCACGTAACATACGTATATGGCGCGACCCGCACGATATCGTGACACATATCGCTATGGGTTCCTCGTCACCTATCGATTATAAACGTTATGCAACGTTACGCAGGCTTTGCGCCTGCAGATGTCGAAGGAGATATCGATATTGATAACGAGATGTGACACATAAAACGAGAGTACCGAGAGTAATCTCGATAATTAAAATTTATTATATTTGGTATGATAAAAGTATCATCTCTCGATCTCTCGATAAAATTAAATGTTTTATTTTAATAACGATTAATATTTCGAAGACCTTTAAGAAGCTATCGTTACGCATAAAGCGATTGTGCCGAACAATCATAATTTCCTCATTTCAAATATTTAATTCTAAAAAGATGATTATATTTTTCGCATCAATAATAAGCAGGTTTATATATAAAGCGTTCCTTCTCTTCCTCCGCCTCCTCCTTGTCTTAATATAACGGAATTAAACAGGCACGATTGGTATTTTCGTTCGTTGATTATTTCTGACGTCGTCACAATTTCCGAGGTCGTTGATCTCGGTGTCTTTAGTTTCGAACCGTGAGTCGTGCATTTGACAAATAACTTGTTTATAGAGCAAAAACGAACGAAACGCCGCCCGCTACAGTATTGTCGCAAATTTATCGATTCACGCTGTTTAACATATTCCTTCGTTCTCACAAAATCGCGAGACGCACGTGACTGCGTCACGTCGTACATCCGTGGCGACTGGCGACGTCCAATCTCCAATCTTCAACGGAAACGC